CGGCGACTACTGTATTTATCTCAATAGCTGGTCTTGGAAACTTAATTGGTATTAAGTCCTCCACTGGCTCCTGAGTTTAACATTTACACTTAACTTCGCGGTTAACTGCTACACCATCCGTCAGGCGTAAACACCTTCGACAACCACCAGTTGCGTTTTCTGGTAGACCCATCATTCCAAGGCAAAACGCTCCTCTTGATTAACAGTTAGAGTCGGATAATATCAACCAATTTTGTACTTTAAAAAAGCCAATACTGTTGTCCGGATTTTTCCAACTCTTTGCGCTAGTCTGCGGGCCACCAAGGCATCTTGACCATCACAAAAGGCTGTGCGTATTCGGCATTTAGCCATTCGGACGAGCAAACGGACTTCTCTGAGCATCCATGCCCGAGAAAGACCCTTCGAGTAAGATGCAAAGTTCTAGCTTAGAATAAGACCGTCGCATGCCTTCTGGCGCTAAAGGGATGACATTCGTAGGGCTGACGGCAACTATACCGATTTAGTGTAGGCTTTCTGTCTGTTTCAACCAGATTTGCTGCTTTTTGGATTTTCTTCGGTGAGATTTGAAAGTATATTGAGTGTGGGTGACGTCTTGCAAAAAATCTAGTGGTAGCAGAGCGCATTACAGGACACACTCGTCCACTTGTGCTCTGGGCTATATAAGGAGTCCCGCCAACAGGCGCTCAGCGGCCAGTATTATAGGTAGAAACAATTACCGACAAACTCAAGAGAGACTCGGATGAACATTTCTGACTGTCGCCTATTAGTCACACTAACGAGCCAGAACTGACCATTACCGTCTCCATGGCCTTTGTCGTTACTGTTATTTTACATATAAAAGCAGTTTTATCAAATTGATATGATAATTTACTATTTTGGTGCCGAATTTTCTCCATCCGTTTTTAGGTACAACCCACGGAAGCCTTTCCTTTCTCAAATCGGTATTGTCGCGGTTCGAGGCTGTGAAATCGAAGGGCAAGTGGACAAGGCCGGAAAACTCATTCCAGATGAGGAGCGTTTTGGGATTGTGCCTGCGAAGAGTAAGCGGCACCGCCACTTCCTTTTTTTAAACTAATACTGCGAACGCTTTTTTGTTTTTAATACTTTTACCTGTTCGCCGAAGGGTATCTCTTTAGGCTTGCTTCTCCAACTACTTGTTTGCCTATCGGAGGTTTATCTATCTGTTGCAAAGAGTCACCGCGTTTTGGGTTTACAACATGCTTGGGCCGATGCGCTCGACTCCAAAGTATATCACAGTAACAGTCGGTGTATCACAGTACTTCCCCCCGTGCATTGTTTCTAATTTTCGCGCTCACTCGAAGACTCGTTTCTCTCCCTTATTCATTTGCTACTCACAAATGCTTCCAGGCCATTATGTACCATTGATGTTTAGATGGAAGCGTAATATGCAAAGCTGCTGGGAAACCGATTGGGAAGGTGAGTGTAGTACGCGTACCCTGGTGATAGGCGTTCTAGGGAGGCTGTACAAAAGCCGTGGCTTAAAAAGTAGGGTACAAGCCTTAGTAGTATTTTGCATATGTGAGTAAATTATTAATTGGAATAGTCTTGCGCCTATCAAAAAATGAGGACTAAGCGACAATAAAGGAAGCTAAACTGCAGGAGGAATTTGATTGGCGCGAAAGGAGAGTTCACCTGAACCCAACGTAGGCCAAGTAATGGACTTGCCAATACAAGCGAACATCCGTGTCCCAGGAAGCGATCGAGTCTTCTTCTTCTTAAGTAATGGACTGCCAACCGATCTATTGATGGCCGACAGCTTTACCACCGCCTGATGACACTGCCCGCATTATCAAACGTCGCCACGGTCATGGGGTCGCTGATAGTGGACAGCTGTAACACTCCTGCAGGCGCACACACCCCCAGACGCCTTCGGGTGGAGGGTAGGAGGGGTTAACCACAAGAAGGTATGGTAGCATCACGCAAGCGGTCAGGGTAAAGGTAGTAAGCAAGCCTACCTTCTGTGGGCATCCTTCAACAGGCGTGCCAGCCGGGCTCAATACCCATGCAGCCCACGGCCAAAG